TGGCTCCTGACTGATAACAATATATAATAACAGTACCTTCAGTACATGATATCATATATAGTAATAATACTACATCTAGCCTAAAAGTGATAAAACACGATGGAAATCGAAGGTTCATTACACTTGTGAATACATGACTGACACTGACGGATACTACATTTTATGCATCAAATATTATGATACTGTTTCGCATAACGTTCTTGAATTCAACATTTCAACAAATGATTCTGTCATGAGATTAATAAACGTGGTTGAAATTTTTTACTTAGTTCAATATGTATCAACAAACATAAACGCAAGATAAGTGGATTCAAAGTCAGTCTAGTAGCAAAAGCATTTATCAGCAGGATTCTTTTGGATGAATATTTTTTTTGTTCATAAATGTCATTGAAGAGCAAAGTAGTTCCGTTTCATTTCATCTGAATTTTAATAAACATAGAAAAACTAAGCTAAAATTATGTCCTTACAAAAAGAATGACAGCATGAATTAGTTAGAAACATAATAAGTTAATCCAGAAATTTGCACATCTTGCAATGGCTTCGGTTGTAGATAGCTAAAGACGCTTTCAGATACCTAGTGCTGTGAGAGGCCAACATAAAAATAGTATGAATTACTGAAGTATTATAATGTAGCGGTAAATAAATCCCCAAAATAAATAGCCCTAAGTTTTCGACATTGGATGCTGACCATATGTTTTAGTGGACTCATCTAGCTGAAGGCGCTCGGTCAGGCATCCGCACCAGATCACGTGTGGTAACGCCGTGCTCAACATCAACCGCAATCGCTAGCCAGATTAGATCAGAGAATTCCGATATATTGGTCATTGCCAAATATACTCATCCGATCTCCTCGACTCTGTCTTTTGATTTCTCTGGGTGGGAACGAAATATATTAGGTGTTACTAGTAAAAGCGTTGTCAAACACTGAATACCTGTGGCATCATCATTGGTGAGCCCGACGTGATCTGGTACACCTAATTGCAACTGTGAGTCTGTTCCTTTTTGGAATTTTTATATACCATTGCCTTATTTATTATTTTTTTTAAATATTGTGATTTTTTCGTATTTTTTCTTGGATATATATATATTTTCCCCTCGTTCATTATCGTACTTCATATTTCATCATGACTGAACAGACACCTAAATTACTCAAGCTTAAGACCTTGTCCCCACCTTCGTTTCAACTGATGCCTTTCTGGCCCGACAACATCGAAGCTTGGTTTTGCTACGCAGAAGCCGACTTCTCCGAGCACGGCGTGATCGACACACGTGCACAATTCCTCGCAGTAGTCAAGGCACTACCGCGCGAATTCAACAGGTACGTAACACTTAGTATGTTTACTAGTGATGTTTCTGACCCTTACGAAACCTTGAAACGTTCGATTCTTAAAAGAGGAGACCTAACCGATCGACAAAGGTTAGATCAACTCTTCAATAACATCGACCTGCAACACGGTTCTGCGACAGACATGCTGCAACGGATGAGAGAGGTAATAGGCCCAAGAACTTTCGACGAAGGTCTATTCAAACAGTTCTTCTTGTCAAAACTTCCCCAACAGGTGCAAGCAGTTCTGGTCTCGTTCCAGAACAATGCCTTAGACGAGCTAGCTGCATCTGCCGACCGCATTTTAGAAACTACGAAACCTCCTACTACCGAGGTATTTTCAGTCAAAGAAAAACCTCAAACGATTCAGAATGATATAACCGACTTATGTCACACACTCACGCGTTATCTTCGTACCGACCGTAAGAGATCGCGCACACCACGTAGAAGCATTTCACGTAAGCGATCTGTCTCTAGACCACGAGAGACAGATAACCCCGACTGGTGCTGGTATCATAATCTGTATGGAAAGTCTTCCAGAAATTGCAGAAAACCCTGCAATTTTCTCAACTCCAAACTGACTGGCAAGCAAAACAACTCGGGAAACTTCCAAGCCGCCACGCATTGACGGCAGCCGTAGCCGGCGAACATAGCAGTTTGTTATACGTCACAGATGTGATAGCGAAAGTTCGCTACCTCGTCGATACTGGCGCAGAAGTTAGCGTTCTCCCAGCGAATCCGGACGATCGGCTTCAAGATTCGGCTCTAAACTTACAGGCGGCAAACGGAAAACCGATCGCTACGTATGGCAAAAGGTACGTTTACCTTAACGTGGGTTTACGCAAACCCATACACTGGATTTTCGTTGTTGCAGATGTTTCTATGCCAATCATTGGTATGGACCTTCTACAACACCACAATCTGATCATCGACACTCGCAAACGAAGGCTAGTAGACGGAAACACTAATTTGTCCGTTTGCGTAACTTCCTTTACTGGTTGTAGAGTATCCCCAGTCACAGTTAAACATATGATAGACCCACTCTATCAACCACTACTCGATAAGTACCCTGGGATACAACAAACTCAACCGAAACTACCGTGTGTAACCAGCAATGTTACACATCACATCACGACTACAGGACCACCTGTATTCTCTAAAGCACGACGACTAGCTCCTGAAAAGCTAAGGTTAGCGAAAAACGAATTCGATCACATGATACTTAGGAATCATACGACCGTCAAATAGCCCATATGCATCCCCGTTGCATATGGTCTTTAAAAAGGACAGCAACGATTGGCGTCCAACTGGCGACTATCGGCGATTGAATGCAAAAACCATTCCCGATCATTACCCGTTGCCCCACATTCACGATTTGACAGCTACCTTGAAAGGTACAACTGTCTTTTCGAAAATCGACTTGGTTAAAGCATATAACCAAATCCCTATGGCTACTGACGACATACCGAAAACAGCTATCATAACTCCTTTCGGACTCTATGAATTTTTGCGAATGCCTTTCGGTCTAAGGAATGCTGCTCAAACATTCCAAAGATTCATAGACGACGTTTTTCGAGGTCTCAACTTCGTACACGCGTATGTTGATGACTGTCTAATCGCAAGTCCGGACATAGAAACACATCTCAAGCATCTGGATCTTGTTTTCGAACGACTACAAAAACATGGCATTACTGTAAACGTTCAGAAATGCCAATTCGGAACCGACTCATTAGACTTTCTGGGACACACTATCGATGCTCAAGGTATCCGACCCCTTAGAACCAAAGTGGCGGCCATTCTGGATTACCCAGAACCGACCACCGTCAAGCGATTACGCACGTTTAACGGCCTCGTAAGTTTCTATAGACGTTTCATACCGAAATGCGCATTACTTATGAAACCTCTGACCGACCAACTTCGTGGAAATGCGAAATCCACTAATTTGGACGACACCGTACGAAAAGCATTCTCCACAGTTAAGGAACTGATTGCTAAAGCAACAATGCTCGCACATCAGGACACCCGAGCACCCATTAGCATCGCAGTAGACGCATCCGACTCGGCAATCGGAGGAGTCTTACAACAATGGGTTAACAACTCCTGGCAACCCTTGGCATTTTTCTCTAGAAGGTTGCTAGACACCGAATCGAGGTACAGCACATTCGGTAGGGAACTCCTAGCTATGTATGGTGCTGTACGGCATTTTCAACACTACATCGAAGGTCGTGAATCTACTCTTTTCACGGACCATAAACCGCTCACTTTCTCGTTAAGCTCTCCTTCTGACAAGTACTCTCCCCGTGAGTCTCGACAACTGGACTACATTTCGCAGTTTACTTCAGACATTCAACACATCTCTGGAGCAAACAATGTAGTTGCAGACGCCTTATCTCGCATAACTTCCTTGAACAGTTTCCAAGGAATCGACCTTCTTAAACTCGCCGAGCTTCAAAAAGAAGACACTGATCTTCAGCACGAGTTATCGTCCACAACGGAACCAACGATAGCATCAGCATCGATCGCTTAGAAGCAGCGTATTTAGAAGGAAATCCTATCTACGTGGATTTTCCTTCGGTACAATCGAACGACACGACTCCGACACTTATAATACCTCATCCGACAACCAACACCCACGATGATACTTCGACAGTATCCGAAAATAAACTTAAAACGACGCGTTCTGGAAGAAGGGTGAGATTTCCAGAACATTTAAACGACTATTGCACGTAAGGCACTACTCGACATTTTAAATTATTTTTTTAAACAAAAACAATTTTAATATGCTTATATATTTTTATTTCTATTTAAAAAAACAAACAAAGAAAAACAATTTTTTTAACGCTATTACGTGTTCATGAGTTTATTTTCCATTTTTTTCGCCGACATTGAGTTTTTACACACATACGAGTGTATTTTGACATGCACTTACACTTTCTTTTTTCTTTTCCAGGACGGCTGGAAAAGGACGATGCAGTTTACGAGGAATCGAAATTTTTCGTTGTAACTTTTTCTTTTTTTTATTATGTTGTACCTCGGTCCCATATAGTAAGGAAAGACGATCAGACGCTGCTACACTTAGTAAGCTATCAGAAGAGTGTTTACCAACGACAAACTCGTTGGGTTTAAACTTCTGGCTGGCCACGTCTTAGGGCTGTCACTGCCTCACTAGGGGGGGGAGTGATCTGTAGCGGTAAATAAATCCCCAAAATAAATAGCCCTAAGTTTTCGACATTGGATGCTGACCATATGTTTTAGTGGACTCATCTAGTTGAAGGCGCTCGGTCAGGCATCCGCACCAGATCACGTGTGGTAACGCCGTGCTCAACATCAACCGCAATCGCTAGCCAGATTAGATCAGAGAATTCCGATATATTGGTCATTGCCAAATATACTCATCCGATCTCCTCGACTCTGTCTTTTGATTTCTCTGGGTGGGAACGAAATATATTAGGTGTTACTAGTAAAAGCGTTGTCAAACACTGAATACCTGTGGTATCATCAGTAAATCAGCATTTTGTTCGGATTTGTTGAATTTCTAGCATAATAACAATGATTACCGTGTAGTAAACAACAATGCCGGTGTGGACAGACGAGTGTACCTGAGATAAAATTACAGGACTTGTTAATAAAATCTAACAATCATATGGTAAATGCTTAATTTGCAAAATGTCCATCAATTGTCTCAAAATGGCTCAGAATTCATTGTTCTTGCATTTTCATACAAATGGCATTCTGTTTCCATTCTTTACTGTTCGATCCTCTTGTCTCTCCACATTATCAGTATCCGTTCAAAGACCGAGGGTATATTTAAACTTTTTCCTGCTTTATAGTCACATTTTATGTATAAGAGAGATAAAATTCAATCATTATGCAGGTCGAAAGTAGATTACCGCGTTCGGTTCAAGCTGAAATAATTAACAATAAGGTCCGATTTTTAACATTACTTACAAAAATAACATACAAGGTATATAATAAACGGAATGAAAACATCTGAGCAATGTTTAGAAGGAACATAGCAAAAAACATTCTCTTTATCCTATGACTTTAATTTACGAAAACCAAAATACCATTCTACACAGAAATAACAAATATTAAGTCAGTAACTTACTATAAATCAATGGTATCACCACTGAACATAGTAGATCGATAACGCCGGACTGCATATTTGATGGAAAATAAAGTAACATCCATGTGATGGCTAACGGTACACCTTCTAAACAGTCATAATCCAAACAAAATAAGAGACTTTGAATTGTACGTAGTAAGTGTTCACAAACAGCTGGAAATGTACAGAAAATACAAACATATATGAGCGCATAATTTGGTTTGTATTAGTTTAAATTGACAGTACAAATTATTATCGAATCTCAAAATGCAGGCATTACCCAAAGTTGCAGAACAGTACCTAAAATCACTGAAATGAAATTATTTGTTCATTTAAAACTTAAATCTATAAACTTCAGATTTCCGTTCACCCGTAGATTATAATATGCCGGACTCGAATTTACGAAATACTAAGCTTATTAGTTGCATAATGCCATCATACTTTGTCAATCTGGATAGAAAGTTTATTAATGTAATGTAGAATAAAAGACTTCGTGAAGAAATAAAAAACTATGGAATAGGTTTTTTCAGAAAACAAAATGTTTGCAGTGCATTCTTTTTCTTAAAAATCTAAAATGTTGCTTCACGATTTATCTGCTCTATTTTCTTTTCTGACCGTACAATTGAAGTGATTAAGCAAACCGATGGGTTTACTAAAATTGCTAATTTCATTATGGTCAGTGAGCCAGTGGTCAACAAAATGGTTTGATAAATACAAAACTCCCATCAGAACTTTTGCAATTGGCACAACCTTTCGCTTAGTAAGGATATTTATTGGTACATGAAAGGAAAACGTTCATTGCAGTGGGTGTGAAACATTGACTCTGAAGGTTTATAACACTTATAGTTTACTAATATTTGACCATTATTGCTTTTGATGAATTCCTCGCAAGCGGAGGAACAACCAAATGAACAGCACCATGTAAATATGATAAATTAGTCGGTGAGGTTGTAATTTCACTTTAATCACGAGGAGTAAGATTGGGATAAAATTAAAGAAATCTAAAATCCAACAACTAATGACGTAACTGCGCTCCATTAAACTCACCAAATTTTAGGATAAATGTTTTGGCAATTACATACTTTTCGGCTGTGATTCACACAAAATGCTTAAGACTGTGCTGAGAGCTCTTGGTGGCATAGCTCAAAATCAAACAAAATGTATTAGACCTTGATCTTCTCTTCAATCTTTACTTTAAAGTTTGAAGAAGATGGCTTAAAATACCACAACTCTTATTTTCAGAAAAACTCGACAACTATGTTTATTAAAATATGTATAAGATCATCAATATTTGTTTTTAAATTCCAATTCATAACGCGTCGGTTTGAATGTCAGGTTAATTATGAGTCAGAACTATAACAAAAACTACCATGGGGACCATTCCTCCACGATGACGTGAGTTAATTAATATTCTATGAGCTATCTAAGTTTTTCACATTTTCTTTTGAAACTAAGAGACAACACTCAGATCTAAAAACACCAATTCTTATACGGTTTGTTTATCAAGCTTGAAACCTCTTTTGCTGAACACTTATTATTTTATAAATATAGACATTACTGCCGATAAAAAGTGCGACCATTATGTAAGTACTGATCTGGGCTTGTAAGTAATTGCAAAATATATGATGAGTGTCTCCCAAATACCTCCAAATTTCCCTACAACTCAAGCGATTCTTCCCAAGATATAGTCAAACACATTTCTCATACTCAGTGTTGATTCAAATCAGACAACCAATGGTACACCAAACAATGAATATCAAATTAAAATTTCAATAGGACATAGAATATCCCAATCTCGTGATTTGAGGGAAAATGTTAAAAGTCTCGAAGAGATTTTGGGGAAGCTGCAATGGAAAACTTTAAGGAAATGCAACAAAAACTTTGAAATTTCCCCTGATTTGGTTTTTTCACAGAAAAACTTAAAACTTCGAAGAAAGTGACAAAATGATTTAGGTAAATTTTGGTTTTCTCCAATATTTGCTCGAAATTCAACCAAAATATGGAAATTACAATAAATTAATCAGTATTGGCCGACGTTTCCATAAAAACACATGAAAGTTATCGAATAAGCAGTTACCGCTCTGGTTAGTAAGCTTTTGAATTTGCTCTGAAATTGTTAAAAGGCACAAATAAAGTGTTCCGTAGTCAAGTTGAGGTAAATGTTTGGACCTCCACTCCTGATCATTGATCCTATTCATAAAACGCTCAATGGAGAGGACATGTATATCCTTGAGTATGCTACAAATTTGTGTTAAATATCATGTAAACATACTTGTATAGGCTGTTTTGAAAAAATTTCAACAAGCTAGTTATATCATTTGAGGATGGCAAATTACTTGCATTGTTCACCAGCTTGAAACAAGCTTCATTCAACGCCTTTAACTTTGTGGTGTCTACAGTGATGAACGTATGACTAAATTCTTTTTTATCTTACATGCATGAGACTTAATATTTGTCATTTATGCGACTACTTATTCAAAAATCCAAGGTAGGGTCTCATTAGAAGTTAATATGAGTAGCGAATTAAAACAACCCGGAAAGGGTAGGCAGAAAACACTCACGTTATATTTTACTAAAGGCTGCAGAACAGACGATAGTTGTTCGTTTGGAAAAATCTTCTATTTTAACCTACTATACTTCAAAAGGGAAAATGATATTGCTTTCAGGTAAGAAAATAAACACAGATATTTTTATTACTAATAATAATGGCTTTATTCGATATTATATTTCGGTACAATATCTAATTTTGCTTGCACGCATGTGTTTTTATGTAATTATGTCTCGTTCTACCAGAAGATATACAAGGAGAAAGATATGAGTGAAGGAGATGGTTAGTATCTGCTAGGAGCACACCTTTCGGGAGTTTGCGTAACTTTACATGTCTATCCACATTCACATTAATAATGATTTCGAAAGCATCACCACACACCTTGTTAACTGCCTTCAGCACTCTCCGCAATACAGCAAAGTCTTTTTTCAAAAGCCCTGGAAAGAATAATGGAGAACAATAAAAAATAATAGGTAATATGCAAGAATTGACAAATTGTAAGAGTAAATGACGAGTAATCCCAAGAGCATGCAATCTCTTTATGTAATAAGTCAGACGGAAAACCTTATTCGATAACAATAAAACGTGAGAAGACCAAGAGAGATCTGAGCAAAAGATAACACCAAGATTATTCACTTTCGACACTGTGTTTATCTAAGAGTCTCCAATGGCATAGGCATTATAAGATCCCAAAGTGGAGTTCAGATGCCGTTAATATCTGACGCTAAAGTTAATAGTTTGACATTTAGACGGACTAAGTATGAGACTATTAACAACAGACCAACAATCAATACGAGACAAAAACTCATTCATTTCTATGAGATGTAAAGTGGTAGAGATAGGCATACAAACAGTAAGATCATTCGCATATTTCAGAAACGTGTTTACTGCGGAATATGGCAGATCATGCAGAAGAGAAGAGAAGAGGTGAAATAACAGCTCCTTGTGGTAAACCTCCATGAGACAGTAGGGACTCTGAACACTTTACTCCAAGCACAGTGTACTGTTCCCTTCTAGAGAGGCAGGAACATAACCAATTGATTAGCCAGCTGTCAGTGTTGACTCTGATTGACTTGTTAAGTAAACGTTGTTATGGTATAGAATCGAAAGCAGAACTATAGTCCAGAAAAGCGCATCGGACATACTTCTTACCCTTTTCTAAGTTAAACACTATATTGTGATGCAGGACAGCAGTGGCATCTAAGGTGCTTCTTTTGCATCTGCAAGCAAACTGATACGGATCGATGTTCTATTTTTCTGTAGGTTGGAGCGAGAGTGTCAATAATTTTTCTATTGTTTTGAGGAAAAGTGAAGTTATTACTTAGGGTTTAAATTTCACCTTATCACAAGATATTTTCTTATGTATAGGAATTATCTTTATCTTTCTCCACATTTCCGGGAATGAGATTAGATCAGATGGATCCGTTAAAAAACACTCGTGAATGGACAGCATAGGACATCAGTACACTTTTTAAAAAGGAACTTTGTGATACCATAAGGTCCTAAACACCGGGATGAATTAAGTGACTGGAGACATCTTCGGACACTAGTTTCAGTGAAACTAGGAACACAACTATTCTTTAAACCTGTGGATATAGGGTGCTTTGCATCAGATGACTGACGTACAAAAGACTTGTTTAAGCCACAAACATTCAGCTGGTTATCGCTGCTAATGTACCTGCCACCTGTAAGTTCTTCAAAATGTTTCAACACACTTGAAGACTTTTTACAAGACAGGAGTTTTAGAGTAAACATAGAGTTGAGACGTCTAATCTCTAGGTTTATTAGATCATTCATCTTACGAACTTCAATAGAGATTTTCTGGCAGGGGAAAAACGTCAGACTCCTTCTAAGCTGCCCGCCATTTCGTTTCAACGACCTTGAACGGTCTGACAGGAGGCGGTCATTCCGTATTTCGATTGCCATGGGTTTGTTGGGTTGCATGAGTACTATGTTTTCTTCATATTTAAGTCTTTTTCTGCATTGAAAAGCAGAAAATAACTGCTAAAAGCAATAATTTTGCATTCTCTGTTTCGTAGTGTACACGTTGGCTCTGCTGTTGTTTCGTTAGTTGACCTGTGAACCCGAATGCTGTAGTAAACCTCAACGAAATGTCAAGTCATCAGTAAGTCTTAAATATTTGTAGTACCTCCTTCAGTTGTTATTGTTTTAACGGATAACGTTTTTATAATTAATGATTGATGATTGTGGTGCTTCTCGTTCACGTGATGTTTCAGTCGAATTATGCGTTGCTGAAGAAGCGTTTCGCAAGCTGGTAGACTTTGATATATCACTAAAAGTGTTCCGAAAAGTATGGAGTAATAAGTATATCACTTCTCAGACTATCCGTACTCATTATATGCATACAGAAAGCAAATTGCTCAAGGATTTCAGACTCAATCAGCTTCTTGTGTCATCTTATCTGTGTCTGAACTCCATTCGACTATAACCCCCGCCCATTTTTAATGTTTCCTTAATTCTGACACCAAATAATCTTTAACCTGTCCATGCACACGCACATATATGTATACAGTTATTATTGATAACCTAGCTCATTCCAATTCTTTATTTTTTCTTATGTCTTATGCTGAAGATGCCACAGGTATTCAGAGTTTGACAACTCTTTAACCAGTGATACTTCCTAATACGAAGCGTACCCACCAAGTGAAATCAAAAGACAAAAACGGGGATGTTTGAAGATATACTTGATATGCTATCAATATATCGAGAATCGTCTGATCTAATCTGGCTAGCGATTGCAGGGGTTGTTGAACACGACGTTCCCACTCGTGATCTGGTGCGGATGCATGACCGAGTGCCTTCAGCTAGGTCAGTCTATTAAAACATGTGGTCAGCATCCAATGTCGAAAACTTACAGAGCTATTTATCTTGCGGATTTTTTTACCACGACAGATCACTCCCCCCTTAGTGGGGTAGTGATGACCCTAAGACGTGGCCAGCTATAAGTTTAAACCCTTTGAGTTTTGTCGTTGGTAAACACTCTTCTGATAGCTTGCAAGGTTTAGCAGCGTCTGATCGTCCTCCCTTACTATAGAGGACTATGAAATACAATATAGTAAGAAAATAATGTACAATGGAAATTTTGGTTCCTCCTAAACCTCATCGTTCTTTTTACCGTCTTTTCCAGCCGTCCTGTAAAAGAAAAAAAGAATATGTAAGTGCATGTCGAAATAAACTCGTACGCGCTTTAAAACAAAATGGGTGAAAAGATGTAAATAACGTAAAAGCGATTTTTACAAAATGTTTTTTTGTTTTTTTTTGAATTTTTTAACATACATATTAGCCGAATAATAAATATATATAAACACAAGCGTATTAAAAATTTTTTATATTGTATATAATGCCATGGGAAATCGAGATGTAAGTCCTATCACTGAGGTAAGAAATAGTATTGTAGCGGTAAAAATTTCCGCAAGATAAATAGCTCTGTAAGTTTTCGACATTGGATGCTGACCACATGTTTTAATAGACTGACCTAGCTGAAGGCACTCGGTCATGCATCCGCACCAGATCACGAGTGGGAACGCCTTGTTCAACAACCCCTGCAATCGCTAGCCAGATTAGATCAGACGATTCTCGATATATTGATAGCATATCAAGTATATCTTCAAACATCCCCGTTTTTGTCTTTTGATTTCACTTGGTGGGTACGCTTCGTATTAGGAAGTATCACTGGTTAAAGAGTTGTCAAACTCTGAATACCTGTGGCATCTTCATTGGTGAGCCTAACATGATCTGATACACTAAATCGTAAACTGTCTGTACCTTTTTGGGATTCCATATATCATTGCTTCATCTTAATTTTTTATACACTGATACTTTTTTCGTGTTTTTTTGGATATATATTTTTCTCCCAGGTTCATTATCGTACTTTATATTTCATCATGACTAAACAGACACCCAAAGTACTTAGGCTTAAGACTTTGTCCCCACCTTCGTTTGAACTGATGCCCTTCTGGCCAGGCAACATCGAAGCCTGGTTCTGCTACGCAGAAGCCGACTTCTCCAAGCACGGCGTGATCGACACAACTGCACAATTCCTCGCAGTAGTAAAGGCACTACCGCGCAAATTTAACAGATACGTAACGCCTAGTATGTTTACTAGTGATGTTTCTGAACCTTATGAAACGCTGAAACATTCTATTCTTAAAAGAGGGGACCTAACCGATAGACAAAGGTTAGACCAACTCCTCAATAACATCGACCTGCAACGCGGTTCTGCGACGGACATGTTGTAAAGGATGAGAGTGGTTATCGGCCAAAGAACCTTAGATGATGGCCTATTTAAACAACATTTCTTATCGAAACTTCCTCAACAGGTTCAAGCTGCGCTTGTCTCGTTCCACAACAACGCCTCAGACGAGCTAGCTGCATCTGACTACCGCATTTAAGTAATCGTAAAATCTTCTAATGCCAAGGTTTTTTCAGTCAAAGAAAAGCCTCAAACAATCCAGAATGAAATTACAGAGTTATGTCAAACACTTAAACGTTATCTAAGATTTCGTAACGACTATAAATGGCCACACAATCTGCGAAGAAGCACTTCACGTAGGCGATCTGTCTCTAGACCACGAGAGACAGATAACCCCGACTGGTGCTGGTATCATAATCTGTATGGAAAGTCTTCCAGAAATTGCAGAAAACCCTGCAATTTTCTCAACTCCAAACTGACTGGCAAGCAAAACAACTCGGGAAACTTCCAAGCCGCCACGCATTGACGGCAGCCGTAGCCGGCGAACATAGCAGTTTGTTATACGTCACAGATGTGATAACGAAAGTTCGCTACCTCGTCGATACTGGCGCAGAATTTAGCGTTTTTCCTGTAAATTGTGACGAACGGCTTCGCAAATCAGTTTTAAATGTACAGGTGGTAAAAGGTACGTTTATCTT